TAGCCGATGCTAACGTTGAACCTGGCGACAAAGATTTTATTGTTAGCCGATGCTAACGTTGAACCTGGCGACAAAGCTTTTATCGTTAGCCGATGCAAACTTTTGACCTGGTGACAAAGATTTTATTGTTAGCCGATGCTAACTTTTGACCTGACAAAGCTTTTATTGTTAGCTGATGCTAACGTTGGACCTGACAAAGCTTTTATTGTTAGCAATGCTAACTTTTGACCTGGCTGCAAAGATTTTATTGTTAGCCGTTGTTAACGTTGAACCTGGCTGCAAAGCTTTTATTGTTAGCAATGCTAACTTTTGACCTGGCGATAAAGATTTTATTGTTAGCCGATGCTAACTTTTGACCTGACAAAGCTTTTATTGTTAGCTGATGCTAACGTTGGACCTGACAAAGCTTTTATTGTTAGCAATGCTAACTTTTGACCTGGCTGCAAAGATTTTATTGTTAGCCGTTGTTAACGTTGAACCTGGCTGCAAAGCTTTTATTGTTAGCAATGCTAACTTTTGACCTGGCTGCAAAGTTTTTATTGTTAGCCGTTGTTAACGTTGAACCTGGCTGCAAAGCTTTTGTTGTTAGCCGTTAACGCTGAACCTGGCTGCAAAGCTTTTATTGTTAGCAATGCTAACTTTTGACCTGGCGATAAAGGTTTTATTGTTAGCTGATGCTAACGTTGAACCTGGCTGCAAAGCTTTTATTGTTAGCCAATGCTAACTTTTGACCTGGCTGCAAAGCTTTTATTGTTAGCCATTGTTAACGTTGAACCTGGCTGCAAAGTTTTATTGTTAGCCGATGCTAACTTTTGACCTGCGATAAAGATTTTATTGTTAGCCGATGCTAATGTTGAACCTGGCTGCAAAGCTTTTATTGTTAGCCAATGCTAACTTTTGACCTGGCTGCAAAGCTTTTATTGTTAGCCAATGCTCACTTTTGACCTTGCTGCAAAGCTTTTATTGTTAGCCGTTGTTAACGTTGAACCTGGCTTCAAAGTTTTATTGTTAGCCGATGCTAACTTTTGACCTGCGATAAAGATTTTATTGTTAGCCGATGCTAATGTTGAACCTGTCTGCAAAGCTTTTATTGTTAGCCGTTGTTAACGTTGAACCTGGCTGCAAAGTTTTATTGTTAGCCGATGCTAACTTTTGACCTGCGATAAAGATTTTATTGTTAGCCGATGCTAATGTTGAACCTGGCAGCAAAGCTTTTATTGTTAGCCAATGCTAATTTTTGACCTGGCTGCAAAGCTTTTATTGTTAGCTGATGCTAACGTTGGACCTGGCGACAAAGCTTTTATTGTTAGCCGATGCTAACATTGAACCTGGCGACAAAGCTTTTATTGTTAGCCGATGCTAATGTTGGACCTGACAAAGCTTTAATTGTTAGCCGATGCTAATTTTTGACCTGGCGACAAAGCTTTTATTGTTAGCCGATGCTAACGTTGGACCTGGCGATAAAGCTTTTATTGTTAGCCAATGCTAACGTTGGACCTGACAAAGCTTTTATTGTTAGCCGATGCTAACGTTGAACCTGGCGACAAAGCTTTTATTGTTAGCCGATGCTAACTTTTGACCTGACAAAGCTTTTATTGTTAGCCGATGCTAATGTTGGACCTGAAAAAGCTTTAATTGTTAGCCGATGCTAATTTTTGACCTGGCGACAAAGCTTTTATTGTTAGCGATGCTAACGTTGGACCTGACAAAGCTTTTATTGTTAGCTAATGCTAACGTTGGACCTGACAAAGCTTTTCTTGTTAGCCGATGCTAACGTTGGACCTGACAAAGCTTTTATTGTTAGCGATGCTAACGTTGGACCTGACAAAGTTTTTATTGTTAGCCGATGCTAACGTTGGACCTGACAAAGCTTTTATTGTTAGCGATGCTAACGTTGGACCTGACAAAGCTTTTATTGTTAGCCGATGCTAACTTTTGACCTGGCGACAAAGCTTTTATTGTTAGTCGATGCTAACTTTTGACCTGGCGACAAAGCTTTTATTGTTAGCGATGCTAACGTTGGACCTGACAGAGCTTTTAACTGTTGATGTTTCATCGACTGTCTGCTTGCTTCTCTCAGCTGCAAAACCACTGAAATTAGTTATACTGAGTTTCCACAAATTTTAAGTATTTAAAACACAGTCATGTAGAATATTTATGTTTATCTGGGTAAAAATATTACAGTGTGTCACTATTTATAGATTAACATAAAATTTATATATTTTATCTAAATATTTTAAAACATAATTTGTAAAATAATAAATGTTTCTGTATTTATTCCTTTATTTAGTGTATTAAACACCAGAGGGGACAGGGAGGATGTCGAACAATAGCGAGGCCATAGACATGGGCCTAAACGGACTTCCCAAAAAGGTAACTTCCTGAGTTTATTTTAGCGTTATTCAAGCCAGTTGCATAAACAGTATTTGTTTTTGAATTAAATAATTTATTTTACAGTCTGCGGGGTTAAACAAGCACGGAGCCACCGTTAGTTTCCACAATATCTTCTACAAGGTGAAGCAAGGAGGAGGCTGTTTGTGTCGCAAGAAGGCCACGACCAAGGACATCCTGATCGACCTGAAGTGAGTAGAAAACGTGGAGACGTGGACCCAGAGACCAGCAGGTGAACCCTGAAGTCTTATTCTGAAAGGGTCGGTCAGGAGTTCCTCTGGTTTGTTTGGTTTGGTTTCGGATCAAACTCTCTCCCATGTTGGGAGGCGAAGGAAGGAAGCGAGCTTTGTGGAGGACTCAGGTTTCCACTTTGAAACACAAGCTGTAAAGACAGAAGCTCGTTAGGAGACAATAACTCCCAGCTAAAAGCAACAAACGGGCCCAGCAGCAGGATGCTGATCCAATTCAACCGCCTGCCAGAACCAGAAAGTTCTGAGAATCACGCTGTCTCCCAGGGATTATAAAACCAGTGTTAGATTGTTTTTGTAATGGAAATAATGGGTTTAAACCAGTAATTCATGAAATGCTGTTTATCAGTAAATATGAATAAAGTCAGAACAAGATTTGATAATAAGTCATTCTTAGAAATCACTTGTTTATTTTTGTTTTCTCTCGACCTGCATCTCCTTGGAATGAAATCGTGCTTTATGAAGATGATATAACGGTGTTTGTTAACAGTAAATATGAAGCCTCAGATAGAAACAGGAGCAGAGAGCAGGAGGACAGGCTGATGGCTCCATGTTGATCTGTGGTCCTGATCATTCTGGAACCACGATTTTCTGTCTTTAAACATTTTATAACAGTTTTGATTCACGTTAAATCACAGAACCATAAAAAAAACCTAAATCTGCTTTAATATTAAACAAATCTGGGTCGAACACGTTTCGATGTTATGAAACTGTTTTCATTGTTTGGATGTTATGAAAAGTGTAATCAAAGAGCAGCGTGAGAACATGAGGTTTAATGTTTATAAAGGGAGGTGTCTTCAGTTTATTGTGTTGAATCATTGACAGATGAAGCTGTGTTTAGTCTTAATTTAAACACTTTGTATAAAATATGAAACCTGAGAAATGTCCCAGCACCAGTCAGGACATTTTACTGACAGGTTCAGTTTAAAAAGCAGTTTTATGAAGAAGACGAGACACAACCTGTGGCTTTTCTTTACAACTCTGTAAGAAAAGCAGACTTTGGATGGGAGGAAGTCGTATTTTACTCACTCAGAAACCCAACAGATGTAAGGAAAATGTTACAAAACAGATATTTGCTGCGTAACGCCGGGGCAAAGTCTGACATATGGAACAGGAAGTTCTCTTTACAGAACACTATGGACTTTGTGGACCAGGTGAGGGATGTCATCATGGAGGCAGATGAAACTATGGTCTCTTTTGATGTTACAT